TACAGATGCACATGTACCAAGGAATGCATGTAAAGTTCAGAGGAAAACCCCTGGAAGTCAGCCATGTCCTTCCCCTGTGGGCTACAGATATTAACTCAAGTTGGTTGTCAGGTCCACCTACCAAGTGCCTCTTCCTGTTCAAGAAGGAAGCCAACTTTGAACTGCTGATCCTCCTGCTTCCTGCTGGGATTTCAGGTATGTATCACCAATCTTTTTTTTTTTTTTTTTTTTTTGGTAATAGGGATGCAACCTAGGACACTCCTGCATGCTAAGCAAGCCCTCTACTAACTAGGCTATATCACAGCCCCACAAATTACAGTTTGGTTAATAGTAACAGTAAGTAATTATTTGTTGTGCATTTTTAGGCACTATGCTAAGAGTTCCACATAGGCTATCTCTTTCATCTTCATGTGGTAAGCCCAACAATATTCTCATTTTACTAATGGGGGGGCGGGGGTGTAGGCTAAATAACTTGCCCAAGGTTGCAAGCCAGACAGTGATGGAGGAACTCAAATTTGAATCCGGCAGGTGAAAGGAATTACCTACGGAGCTAATAATCTAGCTTATGAATGCCAGAATCTGTGAGGATTTAGTATTAATAGACTTCTAAATAGATTTTAAGAGAAAACTCCTTGTTGAAATATGAAATACAATTAGCAGCAATCTATAGCACTATATATAAAAATAATACATTAATTGTAGAATTTAAATGTAATATATAGCCAAATACTCATGGTTACAGATACAGAGAAACTTCACAGTAATCACCCTAAACCACATGCCTTTATTGTTATATACCCTTGCAAGGCATCAAGAGAAAAGCATTCATTTGGACTGTCTTTAAAACTGAGTTTCTTGGGCTAGAAAGATGGTTCAGCAGTTAAGAGCACTTGCTGCTCTTGCAGAGGACCTGGGTTCGATTTCTAGCACCCACTTGGCAGCTAACAACCATCCATAACTCCAGTTCCAGGGCATCCAATGCCTTCTTTGGACTTCTATGGGCATTGCATAACATGGGTCCCCTTACATACATGCAGGCAACATACTCATACACATAAAATAAATAAATTAAAAATAAAGTTGAATCTCTTTACAAACTAGTTTTACGTGCTAACTTTTAAACAAGTCATAAAAAGAAAACCACAGTGTATGATAAATAATAAAATTATTATGGGCCTAGAGAGATGGCTGAGTGGTTAAGAGCACTTGCTACTCTTGCAGAGGAGCCAGGTTCAGTTCCTAGAAGCCACATGGCATTTCACAACTGTCTGTAATTCCAGTTCCAGGGGATCTAATGCACTCTTCTAGCCTCTGAGGACACCAGGCACACATGTGGTATGCATACACATGTGCAAGCAAACACTCATACGCATTAAACAGAATTTTTTAAAATTAGGGTGTTTCCCATGAGTTCTTAATGGTGAAAATAATGAAACAATCATATTTTGAACAACCTTCAGTAAAAGAAAACTTTATGTCAAAGCACTGCATTTAATACCACAATATACAAACCTGTCTTTGACAGTATGATTCTTTGAGCTTCTTGAGATGTGTTGTCATTTTCACTTTGAAGTGTATCTCACTGCTATCCTAAGGCGATAAAAGGGAAACATTACTTCTCTTTGTATAACCTACTTACTTTACTTGAACCAAATTGTTCTTTTTAGCATTCCTAATTGTTTTCATTAAAACAACGCAGTCATCTTCCAAGCTACTTTCCTACCCGTTATACAAATTAAAACAAAAATGCTTTAGGCATTAAAAATTATTAGTATAAATTTGTATGTCAAAGAATGCATTCCTTCATTACTCCATGTCCATCAAAATAAATGTCAAAATAAAAATGAACTGTTATAAACCCTCACAAGTAATCAAAACAAAATGTACTCTCCCATTCATACTAACCAAAGTGTCTCTGAAGGTGGTTATACTAGGAGAAAAGCATAAACCATAACAAAGGAAATTTTTCTACCACGAAAAATTACCTCATGGAATCTGGTTTCTCTTATCAGGAATAAAAATTTCGGCAAGTCAAACTGATCTGTGGTTGAGGCTGAGGATGTAACTCAGAGTACTTATTCAACATACATGAGGACTTAGGTTCAATCCCTAGCACGCCTCCAAATAAAATGACTTTTTAAACTACAGATACTTTCCTTCTATGCATATTGTCAAGCTCTGCGGGGAGTATAGCTCAGTGGTAGAACATTTGACTGCAGATTGTCAAGCAAATAATCAGAATACTAGCATTTGCATACCATAAAATTTCAAAGCTAATCCCTATGACTGCATATCTCATTCAGAAATGTGTATATCAGTACAAGCAAATTGTAACTTAGAAACCACAAAGAGATGTATAAATCTGACAATGAAAACATAACTGTCTACAGTAAAATATTGTTAACAAAAATTGTAAACATCGTTAGAAATAGTCACAACATGTATGAGACAAGAAAACTCTAAACATGCTGGGTGTGGCAATTTATGATTATAATCTCAGCACTCAGCTGTAGAGAGGACTGCTGTGAACTGAAAACAGACTGGGCTACATAATAGGTTCCAGGCCAGCCTCAACTTCCCCGTATAGAGCCAAAAAACCACAAACCAGGCATGGTGGTTCACCTTAAAGTCCAGCACTCTGGAAGCAGAGGCAGATCTCTGAGATAGAGACCAGCTGGTCTACATAGGGAGCTCCAGGCCAGCTGTGACTACAGGGAGATCCTGAGTCAAAACAAAATTAAACAAAAAAACACAAAACAATACAACACAACACATAAAACACCACAAAGTGAAGAAAAAAAAAAACCCAAAATAATAAAAAGGATCCTTGCAAACTAATAATTCCTTTTATTTATTTTTTGTGTATGAGTGTATTGCCTGCATGTGTGTACATGTGCCTGTGTTGTGCAATGCCTGCAGAGGTGAGAAGGTGATGAATCCCCTGGAACCAGAGTTACAGATGGTTGTTAGCCACCATGTGGGTGCAGGGAATAGAACCGGAGTCCTCTGTAAGAGCAGTCAGTGCTCTTAACCATTGGGCCATCTAGCCCTCAAACTAATAATTCTTAAAAATATATTTCATAATCCATGACATCATCAGTGGAATAAAATTAAATAAACTCGAATATCCATAGTTAACTAATTTTTCTTTTTTAATTTTATTTATTATTTTTATTTATTATTTTTATTTTATGTGTATGTGTATATTGCCCGCATGTAGGTAAGTATACCCGTGTCATGCAATGCCCTCGAAGGACAGAGGAGGCTGTCAGATCCCCTGGGACTGGAGTTACGGACAGTTTGTTAGCTGACATATGGGTGCGGGGATTCAAACCAGTGTCTTCTGCAAGAACAGTCGGTGTTCTCTCCAGCCTTTTTTTTAAAGACTGGTCTTATTATGTAGCCCTGGCTGACCTGGAACATGCTCTGTAGAACAGGTTGGTCTTGAACTCACAGTGATCCACCTGGGTGCATCACATACACCCAACTTTATATCTTTTTGTCCCAAAGTCTCATGTAGCTCAGAGAGACCTAAAATTCACTATATAGCCAAGGCTGGCCCTGAACTTCTGATCTTCCTGCCTCTACCTCCTAAGTTCTAGAATTAACAGGTATGTACCACCACACCTAGTTTTATGTAGTCCTAGGAACTGAACCCATGTACATGTAAACCAAGCACTCTACCAACTGAGCTAATCCCCAGTCCTACAAATTGTATCTATTTTGTTTTATTTTTTTGAGACAGTCCCGCTATATAACCCTGTCTATTCTGCAACTTGATGTATAGACTAGGCTGGCCTCAAACTCAGAAATCCATCTGCCTCTGCTGAGATTTAAGGTATGCACCAGAACACCTGACTCAGATTATAGCTCTTTTTTTTGAGACACGGTCTGCCTATAGCTTCAGCTAGCCTTGAGCTCCCAGAGATGTGCTTGCCCCTGTCTCCCGAGTGCTGGGATTAAAGGCGGATGGAACCACCCACAGCTCAGCTTATAGCTTTTCTAAAAAAAAAAAAATTTAAGTCATTTTTACTTCTGTGGGAGCAGCTGTGCATGCCAGAGCTCTAGGAGCATTTTGAGGAAATCCTGACTCAAGATGGAAAGTGACAGAGCAACATATTACATCCTCCTTTGACTTCCATGTGTGTTTCCCTAGGCACCACACACACACAAAAAAAATATTAAGAAGAGTAAAAATGCCAGACCCTAGGTTGTCCCTCCTACTATTATACAGGGGGAGAATCATATTTTTTGAAAAACACAACAGCAAGCTGGGCCTGGTGACACACAGCCTTTAATCCCAGCACTTGGGAGGCAGAGGCAGGCCGATCTTTGTGAGTTCAAGGCCTGCCTGGTCTACATAGTGAGTTCCAGGGCAGCTGGGGCTACAGGGAGACCCTATCTCAAAAAGACCAAAAAAAAAAAAATGATAGCAGACAAAAAAATTATACCTTATTGATGATCAAGGGAGTACATGAGGAAAAATGTTTCGTCTATCATACTGGCACAAATTTTAAAGTGTGACAACAACTCATATTTAAAAGAATGTGAAGAATTGGTACTCACGCTTTGATAACACTGCACACTGCACCATTTCACTATTTCTCTACCTTAAAAAAAAAATGGTGGTTGCTCTGCTTCCTTGGGCCAAAACAACCCACAGGCCTCTCTCCAGGGTAAGACTATCCTGCCCTTCCAGCCTTGACTCCCCCAGCCTCATTCACCCACCCCATCTCCCCCGCCCATTTCTCCACCTAGCCTGGGGTTCCTGTCCCATTCCTTGTTTTGGCGCCACAGACACCTGGGGAACCAACACTGCTTCCTGATCCTTTGCATTCAAACCAACCCAGTTCCTTCAACGGACTCCAAGAGCACTCTGGGCCTGGCCCCACCCTCACCTCCCTCTACTTCCCCAGGCCAGGAATGACCTTTCCTCTTCCTGATCCTCTACATCCAGACCAACCCAGCTCCTCGGTGCAGTCCCCAGGAGCCGTTGGGGCCACTTCTGTGCCCATCTTCCTTTGCATCTCTGGGTGGCACGGCCAGCAGATGCCCTAGACCAGCATCTTTCCTGGGCCAGGTTCCCAGGCCAGTCCAACCCCCAAATTCCTGAGGCCAAAATCTTTCCTGGAGGGATCCAGATCTTAGGAGAAAGGCTGAGAGCATCTGATCCTCATCTGACTTGGGCATCTGTGGGAACTCCTGAAGACAAAAGCAATCTGGCCACTCCAATATAAAATCAAGAGAGAGAACCAGAAGCTTAGAGGAACCAGCTTTGCATGCCCAAAGGGTAAACCACAAAGACATACAAAGTTCACAAAAAGAAGCAGACCTAAACTTGAAGACTTTGAGTCTCACGCAAGAATCAGAAACTAAAAAAGAAATTCACATGTCAAATCATAGAGAAAAAATAACATGAAAAACCAAATTAACATATCCCCACCAAATAAAAATAGTCCTCTAGAGGAGTACAATGAGAACCCCTAGAGATAACGCAGGACATGGACCGAAAAAAAAACAATTATAAACATGATAAAAGAATTCAGTGAATTTAAAGAACACACAAAGAAATCAAAGAACTGAACGAATATAGGGATAAACTTCTAAATGAATTCAGAAAAGAGCTAGAAATACTGAAGAATACTCAGGATGAAATGAAGAAGGAAGTGAAATACTAAGTAAGCCAATTAGAAACAACAGGAGAAAGCCTCACCAACAGGATGAATGACATGAAAAACAGAGTATCCAGACTGGAAGATTAAGTGGACGAACTAGACCACCCAAGCAAAGATTATGAAAAATTTAAGAAATCACAAAAACAGAATATGCAGGAATTCTGTGACACCATAAAAAGACCAAACTTACGAATCCATAGGCATACAGAAAGAAGAATCCCAAGATAATGGCATGGACCAGATCTTCAACAGAATCATGCAAGAAACTTTCCCAAAATTAAATAAAAACATGCCCATACAATGACAAGAAGCATAGAGAACACCAAACAATCAGGACCAGAAAAGAAACTCTCCATGGCACATCATAGTAAAAACACTAAGTATACAGAAAAAAGAGACAATACTGAAAGCTGCAAAAGAGAAACAACAAGTCACATATAAAGGAAAACCCATTAGGATTACAGCTGACTTTTCAGTGCAAACTATGAAAGCCAGAAGAGCCTGGACCAAAGTATTCCCAGGTTTAAGTGACCACAGATGCCAACCCAGATTACTACACCCAGTCAAGATGTCTATTATAGTCGAAGGGGAAAGAACAATCTCCCATGACATAAATAGGCTGAAGGAATTCATGTCCACAAAACCAGCCTTCAGAGAGTTCTGGAAGCAGTACAAAGAGCTGAAGAAAGGAATGACTATACCCAAGGGATTGTGGAAAGAAAATCAATGAAGGTATAACTGTGGAAAAGTACAGCTATATCAAGAATGTACACAAAAATAAAAATGACAGGATTCAATACTCATGTTTCATTAATAACTTTTAATATTAACAGACTGAACTCCCCAGTCAAAAGACACAGACTAGGTGAA